GGGTCCCCATGGTGGCATTGGGGTTGGGGACAGTCTGGGATGACCTAGAACCACCCGGTGTCCCCATGAAGTGACCAAGTGTCCTCATGGGACAGGCCATGGGGGGGGGCCACCATTGTGGCCACCATGGGCCACCTCAGGGTGTGCCTGGACCACAGGGTGCCACCTCGGGGTGTCATCAGGTCACTGGGGGCCCCTTTGGGGTGATTAAGCATCACTGGGTGCCCCCAAAAGGTGTCCCAAGGCCACCAGGTGCACCCAGGAGGTGTCCCAAGGTCACCAGGTGCCAGCTTGGGTTCTCCCAAGGCCACCAAGGGCACCTAGAACATGTCCCAAGGCCACCGGGTGCCTCCTCAGGGTGTCCCAAGGCCACCGGGTGCACCCAGGACATGTCCCAAGGCCACCGGGTGCACCCAGGACATGTCCCAAGGCCACCAGGTTCCTCCTCAGATTGTCCCAGGGCCACCAAAGGTGCCTTGGATGTGTCCCAAGGCCACCGGGTGCACCCAGGACATGTCCCAAGGCCACGGGGTGCTTTCTCAGGTTGTTCCAAGGCCACCGGGTGCACCCAGGACATGTCCCAAGGCCACCAGGTTCCTCCTCAGATTGTCCCAGGGCCACCAAAGGTGCCTTGGATGTGTCCCAAGGCCACCGGGTGCACCCAGGACATGTCCCAAGGCCACCAGGTGCCGCCTCAGGTTGTCCCAAGGCCACCGGGTGCACCCAGGACATGTCCCAAGGCCACCAGGTGCCGCCTCAGATTGTCCCAGGGCTACCAAAGGTGCCTTGGATGTGTCCCAAGGCCACCGGGTGCACCCAGGACATGTCCCAAGGCCACCAGGTGCTTCCTCAGGTTGTTCCAAGGCCACCGGGTGCACCCAGGACATGTCCCAAGGCCACCGGGTGCTTTCTCAGGTTGTCCCAAGGCCACCAAGGGTGCCTAGGACGTGTCCCAAGGCCACCAAGGGTGCCCCCCAAGGGCCACCCCAGAGCCACGATGGGTGCCCCCCACCCACAGGGGCTTGTACCCCAGCGGTACTCACCAGGAAGAGGTACTGCAGGCCGTAGATGATGGAGTTTATCGTCAGGACGGGCTTCCAGTCCTCTCTGGGGACAGAGCTGGGTGTCAGGGGGGACACTGGGGCCACCACAGCAGTGGCCGTAGCCACTCCAAGGTGACTGGGGCCACCCTGTGCCCACACTCAAGGTGCACAGGGCAACCGTTTGCCCCCTTGTCCCACCCTGCCAGGTATCCGGGGGCAGATGGGGACCTAGATCCAACCATGGCCACCCCACATACGGCAGTGGCCACCTTGGATGGGGCAGTGGCCACCTCGGAGGTGGCAGTGGCCCACCTGAGGATGTTGAGGCAGACGTTGCCCTCCAGGTCGATGTTGGGGTGATAAACCATCGTCTCACACTTCACCTTCGGCGGGTCGTGGGGGTAGCCCTGGCCGACCTGGGAAGGGGCGGGGGGAGCGGGCACAGTGTCACGGCTTGGCCCCCCCTTGTGGCCACCGGCCACGTCTTGGTGGCCACTAGCCCCCCACCCCAATCCACAGTGTGGACACCTGGTTTCTAGTCATGTCTTGGTGGTCACTGGTTTCATGGTGGTGGCCACCAGCCTCTAGACCCTGCCCCCAACCCTCAGTGAGGACACATGGCTGCTTGTCACATCTCGGTGGCCACAGGTCACATCTTGGTAGCCACCAGTTTCTTGTCCCTACCTCAAATCACAGAACAGACGCAGCCAACGGTCACATCTTAGTGGTCACCAACCCCTAGGTCCCATCATCAAGCCACAGAGACAGACATGCGGCCTGGTCACGTCTTGGTGGCCACCAAGTCCCCCCACCCCACCTCCAATATACAGAGCAGACACATGGCCACTAGTCACGTCTTGGTGGCCACCAGGCCCTACCCCAACCCACAGGGTGGACACTTGGCTACCAGTCACATCTTGGTGGCCACCAACCCCTGATCTCAATCCCAACCCATATGGTGGCCACAAGTCATGGCCGGTCATCTTCTAGTGGCCACAGGTCAGGCTTCAGTGGCCGCCTGCCTCTTGCTCCCACCCATAAGACAAGTTCATGACTGTGGGTCCCACCCTGGTGGCTGCAGGTCCCACCTTGGTGGCCACCACCCCACTGCTGCCACCCCCAGCCCCAGGAGCAGCCACATGGCCATCGGTCCCATCTTGGTGGCCCCAGGATGGGTGTTGGTGGCCACGGAATTCCCCCCCCCCTCCAGGTGCAGGACTGACCTTAAAACTGAAGACGAATTTCCCTCCCTTATAGAAGCCCTGTGGGAGAGACAGATGTCACCAGGGGTGGGGACACGGAGGGGACACAAGGGACATCGGGGGGACCCCGAGGGACAAGTAGGGACAAAGAGGGGGACAGGGGAAGGATGGGGAAATGGGCAAGACCCGTAGGGAAAGAGGGGGGGGCACAGGGGAACCCCAAAGGACACGAAGGTCTTCGGAGGGGACACAGGGGTGACAGAGGGGAACGGGAGGTTCCGGTGGGGACACGAGGACAGCGCAGGGATGGGCAGGGACCCCGAAATGACACGAGGGGACAGGGGGAAGAGACAGGGAGCAGGTGGGGGATGCGGAGAGCCAGGAGGACGCACGGAGACAGGAGGGGACAAAAGGAACGGGGGATTCCAGGGTGGGACATAGGACTCCGGGGGCAGGATTTGGGGAGTGGGGGGGACACCCAAGAGGGTGACAAGGGGACAGGGGGGTGACAGGGGGAGCCCACCTCGTCGGGGCAGATGAGGAGGCGGAAGTGCAGCAGGTCGTCCTGGTCGGAGAAGTCAATCTCACACGTCTTGGGCAGGTTCAGCTCGTTGATGTCTGGGGGGGGACACGGGTGACACCCGGGGACGCAGAGGTGAGTTAGAGGGGGACACGGACACAGGGCTGGGGCCACCCCGAGACCACCCTCCAGGCTGGGTCATCCCAGGCCCAGTGTGGCCTTACTGGGACCAGTACGTTCCCCCCGACCAGGGCCTTACTGGGACCAGTACGTTCCCCCCGACCAGGGCCTTACTGGGACCAGTACGTGGCCCTACTAGGACCAGTACATTCCCCCTTACCGGGGCCTTACTAGGAACAGTACGTAGCCCTACTGGGACCAGTATGTTCCACCCTACCAGGGCCATACCGGGACCAATACGTTGCCCCCACCGGGGCCTTAGTGGGACCAGTACATAGCCCTGCTGGGACCAGTACGTTCTGCCCCACCGGGGCTGTACTGGGACCAGCACGTTCCCCCCCACTGGGGCCTTACTGGGACCAGTACATTCTCTCTTACTGGGGCCTTACTGGGACCAGTACGTGGCCCTACTAGGACCAGTACATTACCCCTTACTGGGGCCTTACTAGGAATAGTACGTAGCCCTACTGGGATCAGTACGTTCCACCCCACCAGGGCCATACTGGGACCAGTATGTTGCCCCCACCGGGGCCTTAGTGGGACCAGTACGTGGCCCTACTAGGACCAGTACATTCCCCCTTACTGGGGCCTTACTGGGACCAGTACGCGGCCCTACCAGGACCAACACGTTCCCCTTCACCTGGGCTCTACCAGGACCAGTACACGGCCTTACCGGGACCAGTACGTCCCCCCACACTGGGGCCATACCGGGACCAGTACGTGCTCCCCGCTTAGGCCCCACCGGGCCCCGCTCCCCACCCGTTGGGCCTCACTAGGCCCAGCCAACCCCCCCAACGGCCGGTCCGGTCCCGACGGGTACCGGGGAAGGCTGGGGGGGGGGGGGGGTGTTGGGGGTGTTTTTTTGGGGGGGGCCGGTCACCTTTCTGGATGCGGAGCTGGGCGGCCGAGGCCTTTTTGCTGGTGCCCTTGGTGCCGCCCGCCGATTCCTCCTCCTTCTTCTGTTGCTTCAGCGAGAAGAGCTTGATCATCCTGCCGGGCCGAACCGGGCCGGGGGGACCGGCGGGGAGGGGGGCCGGACCGGGCCCGGCGGCGGCACGGAGCCGGGCTGGGCCCCCCCCGGGTTGGGGAAAAGGGGGGGCGGACGGCGGAGCCGGAGAAACGACGGAGGTTCTGAGGAGACGGAGGATCGGCGACGACCGGCGCCGCTCGGCAACTTCCGGAAACGCTTCGGGACTCTCCGGAAGGAGCTTCGGGGCTCTCCGGAAGGGGGCGGGAGATTCGGAGACGGCTTCGGGGTTTTCCGGAGAGGGCTCGGGCGGGAGCCGAACAGCGCTTCGGCTTTTTCCGGAAGGAGAACGACTCGTTCCGGGGAGGGGTCGTCCGCCGACGCTTCGGCTCTTTCCGGAAGAGCTTTCGGCTCTTTCCGGAGACGCTTCGGGTTCTTCCGGAAAGGGGGTGGGTTCGATGAGTCCCGCCCCGCCTCGGGTCTCTCCGGAAAGCGCCGAGTGCCGCTGAGTTCTTTCCCGAGCAGCGTCGGCTCTTTCCGGAAAAAAAAAACCCGCCGGTTCGGCTTTTTTCCGGAGAGGAGCCTCGCGTTTCTCCGGAAGGACAGGGGGCTGGCCGCCTTCGGCTCCCCTTCGGAGCGCTTTCGGCTCCTTTCGGAAACGGTTCGGCTCTTTCCGGCACCGCCCTCTCCTCCCCTCCCCGCTCCCTTCGGGTCTCACCGGAAAGCGTCGGCTATTCCCGGAACCCCACCCCCCACACCCTCCTCCTCGAAACTTGGCTCTTTCCGTAACTCTTCGGCTCTTTCCGGATTCCCCCCTACTTCCACCAACCAATCCTGGCAAGGGGGAGGAGCTCGAGCCACCGGCCCAGCCCTGCGGTACGGGTGCCGGTGAGAGGGCCTTTACTGTCCCCCAGTGGGCGCCGCCATCTTTCTCGTGGGCGCCGCCATCTTTACCGGGGGCATTGCTCCCTTATCAGCCACGGGGTGGGGGCGGAAGGAGGGGCCCTGCTGGGACCAGTTCCCCCCTCTTCCCCCGCCAGAACCTCCAGCGGGACCATACTGGGACCGGTCTCTCCCCTCGCAGGACCCAGTATGGCCAGCAACAACCCTCCCAGCAGCTCCCAGTCTAGCTTCAGCTCCTCTCCAGCCTCACAGGGGAAGGGGGCAGGGGGGCCATCAGGAGAAGGCAAAAATGGGGGGGCTGAGGGGCTGGATCCAGCCCCCGAGACAAGGGAGGAGATCCAGGAGGCCGAGACGATGGCTTTATTTCTCTGCTAGATGGAGGACACCGGGGACGGGGACAGCCGCTGTGGGTGGCGGGGGGTGACGTAGGGACAGGGGCACCCCCCCACCCCGTCCCTCCTCACGGTCTTTTGGGGGCACCGGGGCAGGATCCAGCCCCGCTATCCTCCCCCCCCACCCACCCAAGGGAGGGCAATCAGGGCCCCAGAGGACCGGCGGGGGGGGCCGGGGAGCCTTCGGCCTCATCCAGAGGGATGACGGGTTTGAGGAGGAGGGCGGAAGAGAACTTGCGGTCACCGAAGGCGGCGCTGAGCCGGGCCTCGAAGAACCGCTGCAAGCCCAGGATGGACTGAACGTCCGCCTTGTCCTGGGGAGACGAGGCGGTGGGGGGAAATAGGGATGAGGGGGGGGCTGGATAAGCCCCCCCGGCCCCCCAGAAACCCACCCGGGGGGCACCCGGCACCTCGGTGAGTCGGCTGAATTGCCGGATCATCCTCCAGACGTCGTGGGCGAACTCCTCGGGGCTGCGGTAGTAGGGGGTGAGCTTCTGCTGCAGCTTGGCACGGATGAGGGTCAGGTCGATGGCGTCGTGGTTCTCCTGGGGAGAGGGGTTGTGAGGGATCCCCGGGGGGGTGTGAGGGATTCCTACCCCCGCTCCCCACCTTCCTTGGATCCCCTGCGCCACGGGACTCACCGGGGAGCTGGAGAGGCGGTGGAGGGGCCGGCAGGGCTCGTGGCAAAGCAGCTCCAGCAGCACGTACTCACATTTCTGCAGGGATGTAAAGAGATCCCTCCATCCCTTCGTGCACCACCGGATCCCCTGATCTCCCCCCAAAACACACACGCACACACACACCCCCATACGTACCTGCTGGTCCTGGGGGCAGAGTTTGTGGGGCAGCCCCTCCTCAAAGCCGTCGGCGACGTCGTCGCTGGGGGGTGGCAGGTCCTGGCACAGCAAACACCTCCACTCGGGGCTGTGGGATCGAGCAAAGGGATCGGGTTGAGGGATCAAGTGTCTCCCTCTCAGCTTGTTCCCTGCGATGTGGGCAGAGCCCCCCCCCGCCCTGAGGACTGGGGCCCGGAGGTCCCCAGGTGTCTGGGATCAAGGAGATGGGCAGCCACAGGGATCAGGGACAGTGGATCCCACAAGATTTGGATCAGCAGGGCAACTCCCACACGGATCAGGGCCAAGCAGCCTAGGATCATGGGGTGGGGTCCACAATGGAGAGGGGGATACCAGCTCCCCAGGGATCAAAGAGGTCCCAACTGGTCCGAGATCAATGCTCAGAGGAGTAGATCCCCGAGGGATCCGAGTTGCTGTGCAGGTCTCCACGTGGACTGAGGACCTACAAGGGATCCAGGAGGGTCAGGGATGGAGGAGTAGAGCCCCATGGGGCTCGGACACCACGGGTTCCCACAGGATTTGGGATCAACAGGTAGATCCTAATGCAGATGAGGGCCAGGAGATCCCAGAGGATCTGGGCTTGAGAGATGGATCCCTCTATGGATAGCTGAAAGCAGCCCCCCAGGGCTCTGTGGTCAACAGCCAGACCTCCAGAAGGATCGAGACCAGATCTCCAGGGATCATGAGGTGGTCCCTGTGTGAATCTGAGAGAGCTGGCCTGGTCCATGGGGATGGAAGATCCCAGGGGGAAAAAAAAAAAAAAAGAAAAAACCAAAAAACAACCAAACAGCAAATCCTGGGGATCTAGTAGCAACCAAGGACCAGAAAACCTGGGTGGCAGCAACTCCTTCAGAAGAGGGATCAGTGGATCCCAAAAGACATCAGCAGATCCCAAACGAGAGACGTGGACTAGGGTCAAGCAGCTCCCAAAGCTCCAGCAGTAGCCAAGGACCTCTGGGTTGGGGAAGAACTGGATCTGAAGTGGGAGAGCAGGTGGATCCCAGAGGCCAGTGATCACTTAAGGAATCTAGTGGCACCAGAGGATCCCCCGCCAAGGAATCAGGAGGGGTGGCAGCAATTCCACCCCTGTCCTGGGACAAGGAAGCAGTAGATTCAACGGGAGATGAGTAGATCCTGCGAGAGATCAGCCAACCCCAAAGATCTGCTGGCTCTGGGTGATCCCTGAAGATCCGGGGAGCAGCGGATCCCCAAGATCCTCCCCATGCCCACGATGCCAAGAGGCAGTAACCGCAAGCAAGGGGGATCCCAGGGGACAGCAGCAGATCCTGGGGGATCAAGCAGTGCCAGAGGATCCCCAAGGGGACAGGGGGAGCAGCGACCCTCGGGGACAAGAGATCAGTGGATCCCAGGGACGTAGGGGGACCCGGGGAGGCGACATGGGGCAGCAGATCCCAGGCTGCCCAGTGGATCCCAGGGACCAGGCGTACCTGGGGACCTCCTGGAGGGCAGGGAGGTGACAGTCGAGGTGGTAGCAGCGCTCGCAGAGGTCACACATCACCACGGCACCAGCCTGGCAGCAGACACGGCAACAGGACACCCCGGGGATAGGGGGGGCTCCCGGGGGGGCTGATCCCAGCCCCAACGAGGCTCCAGGGGGTCCCAGCACCCCAGGGTGCTCTGGAAGCAGCCCCACCGGCTTGGTGTCCTGGGTATCCCCGATGGCCGCCTCCTGCTGCTCCACCTGCAAGGGGAGAGAAAGGGGTGAGACAGACAGATGGGGAGAGCAGTGGGGACAGACAGAGGGACACCCACCTTGACAGTGAAGGGGGCGGGGAGCCGCGGCTGTGCCCCCCGCTCGATGACGATGAGGCTGAAATCCTCGGCCGAAGTGCCGGGGAAGACACGGAAGACGGGGGGCTGCGCCGCCCCCGACAGATCCAGGTCCAGCCGCTCCAGGCTGACCCGCGGCACCTTGCGGAGGAGGGTGCTCACAGGGCCCCCGGGGGGGCGGCTCCTGGGGGGCATAGGGGGGTGTCAGGATTTTGGGGAGCCCCCTCAACTCTCCTGGGTAGATTTCCTTGGGGTTTGGGGTGCTGGCAGTCCCTGGTCCCTTCAGGAGGGGGCTGCCAACAGGGAGGGCCCCCAGTGACCCCACACTACAAAGGGAACAAGGGATGGGGGGACCCTGGCCAGCCCCTGGCACAGGGGGACAAGATGGGGGGGACCCCAGGAACAGAGGAGCATTGGGTACAGGGTGACAAGGGCAGGGGGGTCCTGGCCACCCCCTGGCACACAGGGACCCAGCCATTCCCTGGTACAGGGGACAAGAAGCGGGGGACGGACCCCAGAAACAGAGCGACAGGGGACAAGGACATCCCAGACAAGGGACCCTCAGGAAAGGGGGTGACAAGGGAGGGGGGGGGGCTCGCAGTTGCCCCTGGACAGAGGTGACAAGGGTCAGGGGAGCGTGGGGTACAGGGTGACAAGGGAGTCCTGGTCATCTGTGGGTACCGGAGGACAAGGGTAAGGGCTGTCCTGGTTGTCCCCAGGCACAAGGGACAGGGTTACCCCAGGCCCAGGGCTCCATCTTCCACCCCCTCAACTCACTGTCAGAATGGAGGTGCCTTAACTCCCCCCTCACCCCCACCACCAAGCCCTCATCATTACCGCTTAATGACCAGCTTCTTAACGAACTTCTCCTCCTCCCCAGGAGGATTAACATGTGCTCTCCTGTATAATGAGGTTGTCAGAACACCTTGGGGGGCCCCCAGGCAGCCTCCCAAGCCCCAAAATTAGGTTCCTCCCAGCTGGGAGACCTCCTGGGATGGAGCCCCACTACCCAGGGACAATGGACAGGGACACGGTGGCCCTGTCCCCTGTCCTCCATGCCTGGGTATGGAGTGACAGGAGACATGGGGGATTGTGGCCACCTCTGGGTACGAGGCGACAAGGGTGGGGGGAACCCCAAATACGGGGCGAGAGGGTGTCCCTGCCACCCCCGGACATGGGGTGACAAGGGACAGGGTCGCTGGTGTGGGGTGACAAGGAAAGGAGGTCCCAGGTAGGGGGTGACAACGGACAGTGCTGTCCAAGTCACCCCTGGGGACAGTGTGACAGGGGTCCTGGGTATGGGGTGACACAGGACAGCTACATGGGGGGGGTCCAAAGCCACCCCCCAAGGCACAGGGCGACAAGGGTCAGCAAATCCCCAGGGACAAGGGGTTCCCCCCACGCTCACCTCTTCACTCCTGTGACAGCAGCTTCAGGGGGGCCGTTGGCTGCTGAGAAAAACCCACATCAGGGGCCTTCCTCCCCACCTCATCCTCCTCCTCTTCCTCCCTCCCCACCAGGGCCCTCCCGCCCCGTGTCACCCCCCACTCACCAAGCTCTGTGACTGCAGCCATGTCCTCGGGGCTCTCGGCCGTCTGCGGGTAAAGGTGCGGGGGGGACAGTTCGGGGCAGCCCAGCCCCTCTGTCCCCAGGGGAAACTGAGGCAGGGTGGGCATCCCCAGCCCCAACCCACCACTCTGTGGGACACCGGGGGTCCCCTGCCCCTCCTCAGCTCCGATTTGGGGTCCCGTGGGGGGCTGCAGGAGGGGACTGGGAGCGTATTGCCCTTTGCTCACAACTGTGGCTTGCAGGGGCCCCTGGAAAAGAGAGACGGGGGGGGTGTCCATTACTAGGGGAGCACCCATGGGTGCAGGACCCCTCAAAAAAACGCACCCCTCTGCCCCCCTGGAGGTACCTGCAAGGCACCTGCAGCAGGGCTGGGGCCGCGGGGGCTAGTGGCTGGTAGCTGGGGGCTGAGGGATGGCGGGGGGAGGCTCCGCTCTGAGATGATGGTGCCTGCGAGGGAGGCGAGGCGTGTCGGAGGGGGGCCCTGGTGTCCCCAGGGGTGTAACCCCTCCCCGAGGCCTCACCAAAGCTCTCTGCGCTCTTGGTCCAGGCATTAAGGTCCCACTGGAACTTCATGTCACCCTGCGGCTCCACGGGGTCCACGATCATCTTGAGGGCACGGTGGAGCTGGAAGCAGATCTGGGAGGGGGATTGCAGGGGGGTGCTTGTCACAACGCAGGGACCTCGGGGTGGATGCGTGCGACAGCATCCCGGGGTGGGTGTCACAACGTGGGGAGCCCAAGGGGATACATGGCAGCATCCCAGAGACACCCATCATATCATGGGGACCCTGACGGGATGCATGACAGCACCCCAGGGACACTTGTCACGTCACAGGGACTCCAAGGGGACACGTGGCAGCACCCCAGAGACACCCATCATATCACAGGGACCCCGAGAAGAAACATAGCAGCACCCTGGGGACACTTGTCACATCACAGAGACCCCAAGGGGGACATGTAGCAGTGCCCCATGGACAACTGTCACAACTCAGGGACCCCAAGGAGACACATAGCAGCACCCTGGGGACACTTGTCGCATCACAGGGACCGCAAGGGGACATGTGGCAGTGCCCCAGGGGCAGCTGTCACATCGAGGGGTTCCCAAGGAGACACGTTTCAGCACCACAGGGGCATTCACCACACCGTAGGGACCCCGAGGAGACATGTGGCAGCACCCCGAGGGCACCCGTCACATCATGGTGACCTTGAGGGGACAGAGGATAGCACCCTGGTGCACCCACTGTGTCCCAGGGACCCTGAGGGGATACGTGGCAGCACCCTGGGGCAGCCACCATGCTACAGAGACCCCAATGGGACCTGCTGCAGCCCCCCATAACACCATGGGGACTGCAATGGGACCTACTGCAGGACCCCAAGGGAACCTGATGTGGCACCCTGGTGGCACCCATCACATCACAGGGGACCTGCTGTGGATAACCCCCTGGCTGGCGGGCTCCCATTACAGCATGGGAACCCCCAGAGGACCCAGCATATCCTAGGGACCCCGCTAAAGCACCCTGGGGACAATGACAGGGAGGTAGCAGGGGACATGGGGCACCCTGGGGAAGCTGAGGGGGAGTTGGGGGCAAACCAACCCTCAGGAGAGCACCTTCTGACCCCACTTCACCTGACGTCCCCCCAAAACAGGGAACCTAGAGGAAACCAGACCCCAGGCCAAGACACAGCACAGCCTGGGGCTTGGCTTCGCTCTCCAGCACCCGCTTCCCCACCAGTCCAAGACAGCAGAGTCACAGTGACAGGGGAACCAATAGCCCCCAACTATCCATCCCAGGGGGTTCTCTGCCCAAGGTGATGCGTTTAGGGGGGTCTGAGAAGGGGGTTGGGCCCCTTGGCAACTCACCAGCTTCTTGGAGAGCAGCAGAGCGGTGCTGTTGTCACTCTCCAGGGCCCAGGAGGCGAAGCGGAGGATGTGTTCCTGGTGCCGCTGCAGCTTGGTCATGGCCCAGTGCTGCCGCTCCAGCTTCTCCTGCTGCCCCTCCGTCACCCTCTGCGAGGAGAGGGACAACGCCACCTCAGGGCAGAGGGACGGTGACAGGGAAAACGCTGGCTGGCACCGCATCACCACCCGGCTCACCTGGGCATCGCTCACCAGCACCTTGCCACGCTTGTTGAGCTCCTTCATGATCTGGAGGATGGCCATCTTCACATCCACCTGCACCCGCTTCTGTACGTCCGTCACCTGGCGAATGCTGCCGGCAGAGAAGGGAAGGGGTGAGGGGGGGTAAATGCCCCTGTCAGGGGCAGATAATTCCCCCTGGGGGGGGCAGATGGGGCACGTACAAGTTGCGCACTTCCTTGGTGGAGCGCTGTAGGTTGGCGTGTTTGTCGCCCAGGCGCTTCACCAGCGTCGCCAGCATCTTGCGCTGGTTCCTCACCGCATCCTCCAGAAACTGGTACCTGTGGGGGCAGGGGGAAAGGGGGTTGCAGTGGGGCAGGGGGGTTGCGAGCCCCAAAACACCATGACGGGTGCAGCCCCCTACACCAGCGACCCATGGTGCGGGGCCCAAAAGAGCCCCCCCAACTCCTGCAGCCCCTGGAAAAAGGAACGAACTTGAATGAGTTAACCTGGTCAATACTTATCTAACTTCCTCATTAGCCATTAATAATCAAATTAATTTGGGTCACATTGCTGGCTGAGCTAACAAACTCATCAGCCACAAAAACTTTAATTTCAGTAGTTACTTACACTAACTGAATTAGATCTTATGCATCAAAAATGCCTTTAATATAACTAATCAATCAGGTAAGTAATCTAACTAAGTACCTACTCAGATAATGAATCAAATTAATTATCGATTCAACTAGGAAATTTAACCAGTCTGACAGCAAAACCAGGCTATTTAAAAAAACCCACAACAATTAAAAATCAATTAAAAAAAATCAAGCTAATTGAAATAACTGAGAATGTAATTAAATTGACTTTTCATGACTAGCAAATTACATATTTCCAATTCCTTAAAAACTAAAAGTAATTTAACCCCTTCAAAGCAACCAGTCCGCTAATTAACAAAGGAAATAATCACATAACATGCCTATTTGGTTAAAAATAAAAATAACCAAAATTAACACCCTACTTGGTCAATCCCTTCAGTAGTTAGCCAACTAATAAGCTTCATTTTTAAAATCAATAACTAATTGACAAGAATAATCAGTCTGCAGACTAATTTCGGTTCTTTTTCAATAACTTATTAATCAGTTTAATTAGTTATGTACCTTCTTAGATATTCACTAAAAGCACATTTAAGATACCGCAGGGCCTCACTGATGAGGTGCCCAGACGATCTTTTCAGTCGATAAATAAATTTGTTTATTTATCTAACTTGCCCCAAACCACTGTTTTTAAGGGCTACCGAGCAAGATAACCGATTCAAGCGATAATTAGCCATAAAAAAAACCCAACAATTTTTAAGGTAGTTACTGCCGATGCTCACTCACTTGTGGTCCTTGTGGGCATTAAGCTGGCAGTCACGGCAGGTGAGCGTGTCGCACGTGTCACAGAAGAGCACCAGCGGCTCGTGCTTGTGCACGGAGCAGTACACGGCGCGCTCCCCCTCCTTCGCCTTGCCACTGCCTGCGGGAAATGCGGTGCGAGATCACCGTGATGTCATCATGACGTCACCAGCACCCAGTGGGACCCGCTGGCAGAGTAGGTGTCCCTGTGGGACAGGCACGGCCACCATAGCGGCGCCTCCAGACGCGCTGGCCACAAGGTCATCGTGTCAGAAAGGGTGGTGACAGCGCGGTGACAAGGACGGTGACAAGGACGGACCTGTGGCCCGGACCGTGTGGTCCTTGGTGTACTTGACCCGCTGGTGGGCCTCCACGCAGGTCTCGCAGAGCGGCTCCGAGCACTCCACGCAGTAGCTGGTGGCTGGCGCGTTGTCCTCGCAGCTCGTGCAGCACTGGGGGACAAGCAGACACGGCGTGGGAACACCGGGCTCACCCAGCCACCAGGAGCTCACTTCACCCTAATTAATCGTTAATTAAGCATTAACGATGCGTTACCTGACTCGAGCCCTGGCTGGTGGCAGCTGTCTCGGCCCCTCTGTCCCTCAGAAAGTAGTTCTCCACGACATCCTTCAGGTGACATTGGTGTTTGCAGATGGGGCAGTCGATCACTGCAGGGAGGGGAGCGGTGGAGGGTGTCAGGGGGGGCCCAGGGTCACCCCAAACCCCAGTCACTACCATTTGTCACTAGAGTCCCCTCATGGACCCGCACGGTGCCTTGTGCCTGGCAAAAACAGGGTAGCTCGTTAGCAGGGTGGGCTGCTAAAGCGCTCCAGAGGAGAAGGAAGAAACCAGAAGATCCTGGGTCCTGACAGTGATGTGCAGATCTTGGAGACCTCCAAAACTGGAGCCCCACCATGGCCCCTGGGCTGTCCCCAATGTCATCACAGAGGGGACAGCACCTCAGGGGGGTCCCTGCTCTTGAAGCAGGTCCAGCATCGACCCGGGTCACCAATGGCTTTTTCCAGCCAAAACACCGGTTAAGGAAATTTCCCCCAATATCCACCGCAAACATCCACAGCCACTGTCTCTTGCTCAGCTCCATCATCCACCTTCACAACAGCCGCTGATTTAGCCTTCCTCCTCCTCCTCCTCACCACGGGAGGCAGTGCAGTGACGGTTGAGATGCCATCTCCCGCAGGCGGTGACGAGAGGATGTGGCGCTTTTGATCTCCCCAGAAGCCAACCCCGCAGAGGTGGAGGGGCGCGGAGATGGCAACGAGGAGCCGCGGCGGAGACAACCGCCGGCAACAGGGTCAGACTGGATCCCCCGGGATGGGACAACCCCGTGGCGTCTGACCCAGACGTCCAGGTGGGGTCAGAGCAGCCGTGGGGTAGTTGGGGGCTGCCCAGTATGACAAACTGGAGGAGGGGAGGAGGCCACCAAGCACAGGAGGCTTGGGGAGACCCCACGGGCTACTCCACATCCAGCTAAAGCCCCACACGTGATAATCCATTTAGGGACCCCCTGGAGAAGCCAAGGGTGTCGACAGCACCCCAGCTTCTTCACCCACGGGTCCGCTCGCACCCCTCAGCACGGCTCCCATCCCGCCCCACCCTCAAAACGCCCTCACAGGCGCCCAAGCCCACCCTGATCCCTCTTCGCACCCTCACAGGGCCGTTTGTGCCGCCCTACCTGTCCGTACACCCTCCCCAACCTTACACAGACACACACAAGCGCACACACACTTCCCCTTCCCCTCTCCTCGCACGGCTCCCAGCCCCGTTGCCGCAGTTGACCACCCTCCCACCCCTCTACAGCCTTGCACGACCCTCCCGACCACGGCTGTGCACGGTCCCCGCTTTAGCTGAGCCTCACACGGTCCTTTCTCCTCCCCGACCCCATAGGCTCCTTCCCCGCCCCCCCCCCGCTATTGCGGGGCTCCCTCGCCCCCGGTTAACACACCTCCCTCCCCCCCGTTAAGGTGCCCCAGCCCCCTCTTCACCTCACCTAGCCCATCGGGGGGTGGGGGGGCGGCAGCGGGGCCCGGCGCGGCCCTCAGGCACTCCCGGCAAACGGAGTGGAGGCAGGGCAGCAGCCGCGGTTCTCTCTCGGCCCTCAGCCGCTCCCGGCAGACACCGCAACGCTCCAGCAAATCTAACGAGTCCGGTCGTTTCCCGACGGGACCGTCCACCGACTCCACCGCCAGGCTCGACATGGCGGCCGCTGCCCCCCCTTCAGCCCCTTCACCGGGCGGCTGGCGAGCCCCCGCCGGCTGCGCGCGCGCAGGATCCGCCTCCTCTTCCGGGAGCGGCCAATCAGCGCCCGCTGAGCGCCGAGGGAGGGCGGGACAGAGCTGGGATTGACAGGTCGGAAAGGCAATGGGAGGCGAAGGCGGGACGGCAGCGAGAGAGGGGCGGGAAGGAGCCGCCGGCACGTGAGCGGCGCGGGGGCCGAGTTAAAGGGGAATGGGCCAATCAGCTCACCCAGTGGGTGGAGGCTACAGCTCATTAAGCCAATAGGCATCTGGAGAGCGCAGACTGACAGCACATGAATCCAATCCGCTTCTTCCAAGCGCTCCGCCCCCCCAGGCTGGGAGGGCGCATGATGTCTTGGAGCGAAGAGGGCGGGCAGACGCTGGACCAACCAGCGGTCGAAGCACCTCAGGGGCGGCCGTGCCTTTTAAAGATGGACGTTGCGCTCGGCCAATCGACATCCGCAGTCCGTGGAGAGGCGGGGCAGAGGCTCTGATCGACACCTCAGCGAACCAATCACCTTTGCAAGTACCTCAGCATCTCCCTCCCCCCAGAGGCGGTCCGGAGTCAGTCCGGTTCGGCTGCGGTGGGTCGGAGCTCCCTCCCTCCCCCGGGGCAAAGGGGGTCTCAGGGCAAGAGCGGGATGGGGAAAGGACGCAGACCGGGTATCGATGGCCGTGCAGGGGTGGGCCTGGATGTGGGTCCAGAGCAGGACGTGGGTCTGGCCTTGGGCTGGGGCCTGGGTGTAGGCCTGGGGCAAGGCTCGGGCGTCCGCTTAGGCCAAGTCCCAACATTGAGCATGGTTGTGCCAGGGCTTGGCTGTCAGCCTGGGGCTGGGGCCTGAGCTCAGCCCTGGCTCTGGGCAAGGAGCTGCTCAAGGGCTGGTCTTGGGCCTGGGTTGAGGCCCAGGGTTAGGGCTGGTTGTGGATAAGGGCCTAAGGCCAGAATCTGGCTCTGGGTTGTGGTGCGTGAGCCAGGCCTGGGCCCAAGTCCCTGGCTTGATATAGAGAACGAACTGCTAATTGCCTAATGATTGTCTCTCTGTAACTTTAGATACCAAAGACTGGTGTTCGTCAAGGATTAAGCCTGTCAGAGACGGGTGCTTGGGAGTGATGAGCAAGAAGGAACCATGAACAATCACAAAACTTAATTAAATGTTTGATGAATTTACGATCTTGTCGACAAGGCACAAGTAGAGGCCTCGCTTGAATAGATAGGGCCAAAAAAGATAAGAACTCCTGCCTTTGTTCTCGTCCTTGTAGATAATTTAGCTTAAACTAACCATATGGTTTTACACCACTAATGAAAACTTAGATAATAAGAGCACTAACAAGCACTGATGTATCAAAACATGTAAAAGACCATACTGCGCAGAATCACCTGAGGAGGGTCAAATAGCGGACAAGTGAGGAAGACTACGGAAGACCACCAGAGGACTCCTGAAGACCACCAGAGACCTTCAATGCGCCTGCGTAAAGGACATTTGCATATGCTAATAGTTTCCCGGAAGACTAATGAATATGTATAACATTTCTCGGAAATCTAGTGAATATGTATGTAGAACATGTACTTAACCTACACAATTAGACCCAACGGGGCGCACGACTTTGGTGGGACTACCACCCCCCCCCCCCCCAGGCTGCCCACCGTGGAAGAA